TGGAAGCGTGTCACAAAATGGTCAGAAATGAAGCCTTTCATATGCCCCGTAACCTGATCAAATGATCAGCTATCCACTTTAGTAACCGCTGTCCCTGAAAGGGTTAAACCATTTTATTTGTCAATATCTGCTCGTCCAAATATACTGTATGTATATTTTGATTTTTTTTTTTAATTCTCCTTTTTATTCAAGTCGATTCAACTGAGCAACAAGGTGGCACTCTAGCGCCCCCTTTGGAGCAGCTTCCACTAATTATTACGAAAAAGGATCCAAAAATCCACCATTTGTCACACGTAATTCAAACCCTCGCGTCTCTCCGGCGACAAAACGAATCGCGCGCGTCCCCCCGAACGAGAGGCACATTTTGTTCTCTGATAGTGTTTAAAGCCTTTAAGGACCGGCGATGCTATCGCCGACCGTGAAAATGTTTGCCGTTTATTGATGTTTTGTTTTTCTTCCCCCCCCCAGTGATGAAATATGTGGCAAAACCATCGATCCCGAACTCCATTTCCTCGTCGCACAGCGCCAGAGAAAAGCAATTATGAGGTAATATGAGACGAGTCGTGTGTACAATAATTAAACGAGCCTCCCTGTAGATGCCGGGATCCCACCCCCCCCCCCCTCCACAAACACCAACACACACAAACACAAAAAACACACATGACGGTGTATTCGCCGTGAACTTTAAGTCCCTGACGAGGGGCTGATTTATCTCCACCGATAGTCGTGTGGGGCCGCTTTTGTCAGGTCCCGGAATACAAACCTCCCCTTGGTATTATTGGGGAAGGGGGGGGGGATAAGGGAGGGGGGGGGACAAATGGAGAAGAAGAAGGAGCAGGAAGTGGCGACCGTGTGATGACCCGGTAAGAAAAGAAAAAAAGGGAAAAAAAACCCGAGCAGAAATGCAGAGAGACAAATGGACGCGTGGACAAAGGCGCCCAGGGCAGGTTGGCTTCTGCTGCACACTTGATCACAAAGGCAAAGTTGGGTCGGCTAGCAGGGGCTCATCGCTATGCTGGAATGAAACACGCTCGCCTGGTGTCGATGCAAAATGTCTGGATAGTACTCCGAGTTGAACAACAAACATGAAAAGATCATGCCTGACACTTTTCTGGCTGCATTTGAAGGACATTTCAAATTAGGGCAACCTTTTAAAAACAAAATCCTGAAAATAAGGCGACATTTGAGGGTCATTTGAAATAGAGTGTGACATCCATCTTTTTTTTCTCTCTGCAATTGATGGACAGTATGATGTCATCTGCCTTCAAATACAGCCTCGTTGCAGCCATCTGTGGGCAGCGGCGATAATAGTGACACATCCTACAAAAAAAAAAAAAAAAACAGCACCCACTTGTGCTACTCTGACCCATTTTCTCCACACTTTCAAGATTTTTTTTTCCTTCCAAGCCGCCCGCATCAGGTTGGCAATGAAGGGAGAAAGGGCTCCCCCCTTCGGTGGTCCGTGTCTGAGTGAACGTGAGCCCCCCCCCCCTCCTCCTCCATAGCAACGGTGGTTCGTAGCAACAGTCTCTTTGACGGAGGATAGCCTTGGAGGCCATTCAGAGAGTGCAGTTGAAGTACAATGCGCGCCGCTATCACCGTGCACCACCTCAACGTTCACAATTCATCCCCAGAATAGTTTTTTTCAGACTTTTCATTTGGATTTATTTTCGTTTCTATTTTATTCACATTGATGTGGTTTTCGTGTACAGTAAAAATACTAAAACAATGTTTCCGTAAATTGAGAAGTAACAATGTGTTTGAAATATTTTCAAAAAATGAGAGAATGTTATTTTTATCAGTACATGGAGACATGTAAAGTATATATTTTTAAATATTTAAAAATTCAAATTCAAGATGCAGCTTTCAAAAATATTTTTGGTGTGTAAATGAATTCATTGTTTGTTTTTTTGTTTTTTTTTAACTTATATACTGCGTGTATGTTTATGTTCCACAACTCCAAGTGAGCATTATTCTCCTTTCTAATGCCGGAGTTCTGATACGAGTCCAAGAGCGGCGTATGAGAATCTCCCCCTGGGTTCAACGCACAAAATGAGAACAGACAGTGCAGTCGGGCTGCTTTTTCTTGAGTCCAGTTCCCGCAGTCACACTCCGCCACTTTGATCAGTCAATACTGAGCTGAGCCGGGATGTCGCCGCCGGCCGGCCGTCGTTCTCCACGCGCCAAACGTACGTCGGCATGCTGGTGGTGGAGGCAAGGAAAAAGCTTTCTATTATTCAGAAAAAAAGCCTCTCGCCACGCTCACGTATGAGACGCACTGTGATCAGTGGTGAGGCAAACCATAGTGAACACTTCTCTGGCACTGTCAGTCAAAATGAACATTTTGTGCTGAAAATAATTTTCATCACAATTCGTGACCATCTCGGTTATGTCGTTTCTTAACCCTTATGCAGTAATACAGATTGTTGCGTTTAAAGTATTTGTCCCAAATTTGGTTGCACTTTGAGGTGTGACAACTTTTTTCACTTTTGAATTTTTTTTCACTTTCAACTTTCAAAATGTTCAGTGGCATCCTGCCAAGACATTCATACATATATATTTTTATTTATTTATATTTGGCGCCCTCTATGGGCCACAGCAGCAGGAGTGTGTCAATCACACACTAACTATGCTGCATATGTCAATAAAAAAAAACAACCAGTCCAAATCTTGCATATGACATAAATAGAGCCTTGAATATGTCACCAAACCGCAGAAACAGAATTTTTCTTCATGCCTGCTTTTTTCTGCAATGGCCATTTCAAAATAATGCAACATAAAACGTATTTGTCCCAGATTGGGCTACGATGTGATAACTAAGTCATTTTTGAATAAGATAAAACACCGGGTTTAGAGTCTATTGAAAATTGGAATTTATAATGGCCGTCAATGTGCCATTTTTTGGATTTATACTTGAAGCAGTGGCAAAATTTGTCACGATGTCATATATACCCACTATAATGTTCAAAAATGTCCCGCTTGCGGTCATTTTGAACTTTGACCCCTTTTGACATCCTATGCAAAATTTCAGCTTCGTGGAGTTATTTTTCACACTTTTGGCTGTGTGTACAACTGTCCAACTGTCCAAAAAAGACCCGTGACGATCAGATACTGCATAAGGGTTAATACTGTCATAAAGACAAACAAATCGGCAATGCTACTCTACTCTGACTCATTACATTGTAATAGGAGTTGATTTACGCAGAGGATAAAGCCTTGTGGGTACTGTCTGGTTGTGTTCAAATATTCATTTATTAAATGGTTATAACACAGCACTATCAGCGCTACTCGCTAGCCCGTCTAATTGCGTTTTCAATTATGTTTGCCTTAAGCTAGCAGGGCCATTTTTAAAGCAATTTTATTTTGTTTGAAACACAAAACGTAGTATTGTCTTTGATGTTTATCTTGACAATCAACTTTAACTGGGAGAGACAAACAAAGCCTTTTTTTAATGGAATGTACATTATATTTACAGTACAATGTACACAGCAATGTAAATTCTTTGGAAACTGGTTTTGCAATCAGCTGTTCATCATGGTATTTATTGTATTTTCATCATTTGTCAAATGAATTCGCTTTAAATACAAAAAAATTGAAAACTTTCATGTAATTTTAAGCAAAAATACTCTGTTGGAATGACGACTGTAATTCAAAGTTAAAGAACATTTTACTTTGAATGCTTTCACAGAAAAAAAAGCACACGTGAAACGAAAAACGCGGGGCTTCTGACATGCCTATAGTTTCACAACATAGTTATATATTACATTTGTGTGGACTATTTCCAAATGGGGTTTAGATGACCCATGGAAATGAATTAAAAAAACGTAAAAGTCTTGTCGTCTGTCTGAAAGTAACTTTGAGCACGAAAATAGTTTCAAGACCACTGACTGTGTCCAAACAGCAGCTGAAGACATGATCGCCACCACCAAAGTCCCACATTGTACAAAAATAAAATCAGTCCTTATATTCGGTGTACTTCTTAGCCGAGCCGTGCACTTTGCTTGCGGGGTACTTGAGTCTGTTCAAGGCCATTTTGCGGAGGACAGCTTGGGGCAGGTCCACGCGGCATTTCTCGGCCAGCTCCACCAGGTAGATGAAGACGTCGCTCAGCTCATGGGCCAGCTGCTCCCGCTCCGAGTCGCTCCAGTCGGGCAGGCCTTCGGCCACCTCGCCCTTCCACTGGAAGAGCTCCGAGACCTCGCCTACTTCGCCCACCATGGCCAAGAGGAGGTTGCGCGGCTGGTGGAACTTGTTCCAGTCGCGCTCGTCGGTGAACTCGGCCTGCATGCGACGGATGTCCTCCACGCTCGGCTCCGGGCTGAAGGTGAAGCGATTCTCCTCACCCGAGGTACCGGCATGTGACGCGGTCCCGTTCACCGGACCGTTGTCGCATATCTTTCCGTTTGTGGCCATCATTTTGAAGCAACGTCGTTCCAAGGTTTGAGCTCCTTTTCCAACGAGTCCCGCCAAACGTTAACCCGGAAATACGTCATTTTAAAAGTAGTCTGGGATTTGTAGTTTAACGTCCGGTACACGCGTTGAAGAACGACTCTTCCTGCGTGGAGCCACGCTCCTTGAACATGATACTCTGCAGTGGCAGAGGGGTCCGCAACAAACTGCTGAAAAGAACATGTTCAAATATTTCGTCATTTCCCTACTTTGCTTCCCCCTACTCTCATAAGTCCATAAACTACAAATCGCCATTGCCTTGCAAGGGCCTCGGTCTTGTACATTCGGTGTAGGTGTGCGAACTAAAGAACGTTTCACGAGATACGCTATCCTGATCTGATTTATTTTGAACATTGACAAATCAAATTGTACACCGAAACCATGATTGCTAGTTTTCACAAACTTTGCGAATTTATTCAGTAAATTGAGCGTTTTTTTATGCCGAATTACATTACCAATTTTGGTCTTATAACCTTGCAAGTTTATTCATTGATTCTCGTTTATGCCCCGCCAAACAACCCGGAAATGTGTCTTCACACCGTGAAGAACTACAATTCCCACATGTAACTGCGCTTCAATAACAAACATGGCAGCCCCCATCGCTGCAGCAAGAGTTCGCTCCAAAATGATGAAACGAACATTATTATTGTGTCCTAATACGTCTTTTACAGTCCGGAGTTTGAACGTAGAATGTCCGCGATATAATGGTCAGTTGCAGAGCACGACTGTGAGGTTGGTGAAGACGATAAACTGAAGTAAATTTCGCTGCTAACCTGCTAGCTCGTCTGTACAGACTTGTAGCTACGATGTTTTTCTTGTCATTTGACTACGACACCCCTTCCCAGACGGTGTCTTGTAAAGTCGACAAATCAAAATACATCTACACCTGACAACATGAAAGCTATTGTAACTTTTCAGCTTTTTAGTTCCAACAGTATGACGTTGTTCCTCATAAATTGCAAACTTTGTTTTGAGAACTTTTCTCATTACCCAGCAACGATAGCCTTGTAAAGGTTGACATTTTTCAATACCTTTGTATTGTTGCTTCCTCGTACTATTTCAGATTACCCTATTTCAAATTAGTCTTTCTGCACTGTGCTTTGGCAAATATTCGGATTCTCCCATTTCCTCGTAAAACCACAAAATATTTCTTGTATTATGGCGACTGAAGTTTCATAATTTGGCAACTGTGATCTAATATTTTATTGACGTCATGTTTCCGTGATAGTTTTATGACTTTATTTCTCGAACCATTTGTACTCCTTCGTAGCAGGTCACCTTTGGTTTCCTATTTGGTTTGAATTGTTGGAACCTTATAACTTTGTTTCGAATCACTTTATACCGTTTGATTTTCGCAATGTTACAATACTATTCTCATACCTTCTTGTTTTCTTAAAAAAACAAGTGCAACTTCATCCAAAGTCCTAACAAAGTTCCTCATTACAATTTCATTCTCGGGTTCAATTTTTTCTCACAACGTTAAAACTGTGATATAACAACAAACCTTATGGCTTTTTCAGAAAAAAAATTCCCGCTTTTTCTCATTGCAACGCTATCTGCTATCCTATTTTTTGTCATTCCAGTTTGACTATTCGCATAACAGTCCAACGTAATCCTACCAGTAATATGACTTAATTATAAAAACATTTTTACACATAAGAGTGAAGCTTTATTCTTCAAAAACATTTGACTCAATACTCAAAACTTTGCCTTCGTTTGTGTAACAATGTGATTTTAACCACGTAGCAATGGCACTTTCTTGTCATATTCTGACTTTATTCTTGACTTTGCAGCGTTCCCATGCGGCTGGAAGGCGTGGTCGGCCTGGAGATCCACGCCCAGATTCACTCCCGCACTAAAATGTTCTCCGGCTCGGCCGTCCGCTTCCTGTCGCCTCCAAACTCCCTTGTGTCCTTCTTCGACGCCTCCTTACCTGGCACGTTACCTGTAAGTACTTTCAATCCCAAGCGTCATATCCTCAAATCTTTGGTTCGTCAGGAATCGTCACCGCCATTTGTGCCTCGCCAGGTCCTGAACAAACGCTGTGTGGAGGCAGCCGTCATGACGGCCTTGGCTCTCAACTGCCGCATCAACAGAAAGTCTCTTTTTGACCGGAAGCACTACTTTTACGCCGATCTCCCTGTGAGTTTTCGGTCCAAAACGTTGTTTCCTCGCTTCATTTTTAGGGGCTCCTTTCAATTATTTGTCGGGCTTATTAAGGAGCACGAGCTAGGCAGTGTTAGGCAACCAAATGAGTGACTTGGATTTGGCGCGGGTGGCTTGCCGCGACGTCAGCTGTGGGGCGTCTGGCTACGTTCTCGCAGAGCTCTGCTGTGGGAGCTGTCTTCCAGCTCAGAACATTCAGGAGACCGCCCCGATCCATTAAAACAAAACTTTAAAAAAACACACAAAAAAAACCCAATAGACTTGCTGATCATTAATTTTCCCTGGCGGCATTGAAAAAAAATGGCGGGAAAAGATTCATTTGTAAATGACATTGTGCAATGTGCATTATTGATGTGTTCCAGCGGGAAAACGCTGGCCTTTAAAATCAGACGGATGACTAGCTGGCGTTCTTGTTGAACAGCAGTATGGCCCGCCTTTTGTGCACACATCAGTAGATATACAAAAGGCAAACGATGCTATTTTAGCCCATGTTTCCGTGTGTGTGTGTGTGTGTGTGTGTGTGTGTGTGTGTGTGTGTGTGTGTGTGTGTGTGTGTGTGTGTGCGCGCGCGCGCGCGTGCCCGTGCCCGAATGCAGCCAGGAGAGGCTCCGACACCCTCGTGACCATACAGATTCAGATAATATATTCAAAATCTTAAAAAAAAAAAAAAAGTCAGAAAAATGTGCACATTATATTAAGCAAATAAAATTTTAAATTATTTTTTTTATAGATATATGGGAGAAAAAAAATCTTATTCCAAAATTATTTCACGAAATATAAACATACCCTAAAACTAATACTTGTTCATCAGTTCAAATGTTTTTGTTGAAATTGTTATACGGTGAATGCGCTCAAGGATGATCGTGATGAATGATCATAAATTTTGCTCAAATGACCACATTCACGTTTTCCTGGTGAATTCCCACCACTGCGCTCCTTTCCCACCTTGCTCGTGGAGTATGAGTCACCTTTTACGATACGGTTGCCGCGGCAACGTGGGCAGCTCGTACGCACTGAGGGGGCAGCGCAAGGAATACGAGAAACAGATGAAATATTTATTATTCTCGTGCTTTTCAGGAAGGGGGAAAAAAAGAAACCTTGAGAGTGGAAAGGCAACAGTGCAGCTGCTGCATTTTAATGAACAGGTGCAGCCAGCCTCTAATTTTGACATCATTGAATTGCAGTTGTTTCTTATTATTTCATATTTGGCATATTAATCATACTGAGCACTTTTTAAGAGCCGGGATGTTAAACTGGCGCTCGTTATTCTGCCACTTGGCATATGACCTCCAACTTTTGATGGAAGCGAAGAGAAGAGCAATAATGAGAGCGGGCATTCAATTTATAGCAGAGGGGTGCGGGGGGGGGGGGGGCACCAACATCTTTTGCTTCTCTCGTGTGAATTGAGTTCAAATACTGCTTGGCACCAAGAGCTTTTGCACTTTGATTTGACTGCCCCCTATAGGCAGAAAATGGAGACACACCCCAAAAAAAATCTTGATTAAGCGGTAATGTGATTATCATTATGGTGTTTTATTGTGTTGGTTTGTATAATAAGATAAAATATTTAAAAAAAAACATGAGGTCAAGATTTTTGAAATATCACATCATGAGGGAATATTGAGATCATAGATTTTGGAACGTCCTCATCAGTGAGCTGTGACAAACTGCGGTTGGTCATAAGTTGACGTTTGACCCGCTCACTGCTCAACGAGATCCTTGACATAATTATTTTCTTTGCCTTGAGTATCGGTGGCTGGTATCGGCGGCCTCCATGAGTAGCCGATACCGAAAACTAATTCTGATATGGCTGACCGATACGACACGCTACGCTACCTGGCATTTGGTGTTTGCCCACCACGAGTACGTGCTACATTTCTTGTCAGGCGGGCTACCAGATCACGCAGCAGCGGCGGCCCGTGGCGGTGGACGGCGTGCTGAACTACAGCCTCCTGGGCGGCAAGAAAGGGAACCGCGTGGTTCCAAAGAACGTCCGCGTCAAGCAGATCCAGCTGGAGCAGGACAGCGGCAAGAGCCTGCACGACGACGCCCGCGGACAGACGCTCGTCGACCTCAACCGGGCGGGTAAGAGCGCCCCTCCCCCCATCGTAGTGTCGCTGTCCGCCGCCTGAGTGACAGGACATTGAAGCCTGCTGATGTCTTGGTCAGGCGTGGGCCTCATGGAGCTGGTGATGGAGCCCGACATGACGTGCGGCGAGGAGGCGGCGGCGGCCGTCCGGGAGCTGCAGCTCATCCTGCAGGCCCTCGGCACTTGTCAAGGAAACATGTCGGGTATGATGCTCACTTACTCAAACCACAAATAGAAGATCTGAGGGAGGGTGTTCCATGTTTGGTACCCTCCAAAACGGATTCCCGATGATTTCTCCACAGAGGGCCAGCTGAGAGTCGACGCGAACGTGTCGGTGCACAGACCTGGCGAACCGCTCGGCGTCAGGACGGAGGTGAAGAACATCAACAGCATTCGATACCTGGCCAGGGCTATCGGTAAGCGTGTCACATGGCTGCCTGTCGACTCGAAATTGACGTGAGAGTGGCCACGGGGCTGAACTCACGAACGTCACGCGATGCTGCGTGGCGAGCCCATCGGCACGTTGACGTCAATTTCCGCTGCCGTATAAAATGTCGTCCGAAAACAGGTGGATGTTCTTTTTTTTTTTTTTTTTCACGGCCAGACTATGAGATCCAGAGACAGATGGACATCCTGCGCACAGGAGGCAGCGTGCACAACGAGACGCGCTCTTACGATTCCAAATCTGGGTACGAGCGGGACCGGTGCCGGGTTCGTTAACCGTCACACGAGTGATGATGAACAGGCGTCAAACGTTTCGCAAACGTTTTCCCATCCTGGCCAATGAATTTAGGTTGCGTTCTTTGTGCATGATCTGATTTTTGGTTTTGTAGGACAACCGTGCCCATGAGGGACAAAGAGGGTCTCCAGGACTACAGGTGAAAACTCGCTGCATCGAATGAGGAGAACATGAGTCACACCTGAGATCCAATACAAGAGCTCTGACCAAAATTGTACCTTAACAGGCAAATCGGTATTTAAAAAAAAAATAGTCAGGGGGTCAGTTAGTTACCTAGTTAGAATGTTAGTGAGTTGTTTACCTAGTGCCACCTTCAGGACAGGGTCCCTGACTGCCAAAGGAGCTTATTGGATTGTCTCGTCCACGCCATCCATCGTCATCTTTGCCATTTAGGTTCATGCCCGAGCCCAATCTCCCGCCCCTGATGGTGTACGAAGACTCGGCCTCGGTCCCGGCGGGCGCCGACGTCCGGCAGACGGTGGTGGTGCAGAGTTTGAGGGCCGAGCTTCCCGAGCTGCCCGCCGTGACGAGAGACAGGCTGGTGGAGACGCACGGCATCCTGCCCGAGCACGCCTTCACCCTCCTGGTCAGTATCGTTAAAAATTTAGCGCGGTTTGCAGCCATGTTGTTAGTGCAAGCAGTGCATGACAGTGGGGACGGAAGCCACCAAATATTTGAAATCGACCTGACCGTCCAACTCAAACGCAAGTGCCGTCGTGCGTTGATGTGCGTTGCAGAACGAAGACGGCCTGGTGGAATACTTTGAGCGTGTGCTGAAGGCCACCGGCCGGGAGCCGAGGAAGGTGATTGGCTGGGTGACCAACGAGCTGCTGGCCCTCCTCAAACAGCAAGACTTGAACGTCGGCCAAAGGTGACGCCAACGCACTTTCACTGGCTGGCACGGAGAGGCAGTCAACTGTCATGCGGTCAAAGGAAAGTAGTAACTCTTCCGCTAATCGTGACTCTGGAAGATGATGTGACGTCCAGATCAAACATGGGAACCTGTGGCCCTTGACTGTTTTGGTTGCCTCTAAAACCAGGACTATCCATGACTACTATTTTGCAGAGGTTGTTGGCATGAAGCTCACCGGCCTATTTCAAAAGGATCATTTTGCTTTCATCTTGTTCCGCAAACGCAGTATTAATCAAAATAGGGCACGTGGACCACATTGACAGGAAAATTGTTGAATTGAGTTTCACTTAAAACTCAAAACCAAACGTGCCAAGTGCAGATCTTGATGTTGTGTGCTGGGTTTTTTTATCTGCAATTTTCTTATCAAACAAAGGCATTTTATGGTTTGGGTGGACGGACGTTTATGGTCCCCCCGGAAGGATGGATGAGGTGTTGATGATGCAATGCTTGTCTTTGCTGTGATTTCAGTCGCGTGTCTCCGTCCTCCATGGCTCAGCTGCTGGAGCTCTTGGAAGCGGGAAGCATCTCCTCCTCGGTGGCCAAACAGGTCAGTAAAGACACACACACACAAGACACAAACCGTGGTGGTTGGAATTCTTCACGTGTGTGTGTGTGTGTGTGTGTGTGTGTGTGTGTGTGTGTGTGTGTGCGCGCCAGGTGTTTCAGGAGATGTGGAGGCAGTCGGGTGCAAAGACGGCGACTGAGATCGTCAGCGAGCAGGACTTGGGTCTTGTTAGTGATGCGCAGCGGCTGCGCGACGTCTGCGCCAAGGTTGTGGACTCGCATCCGCACGAGGTTGGGAGCTGCCGAGTCAACTTTTTCAATTCGCTTTCAAAGTGCTAAACAAACAGAGGAATAATTTGCATTACAATCGAACGGAAGATATTTTTTCCCCTTGTTGCATTAAGGTGCAGGCCTTCCGAGCAGGCAACCAAAAAGTTCTGAACAAGCTGATGGGCTCGGTTCAAAAGGAGACCAAAGGCCGGGCGGACCCGATCGTGGTGCGCAAGATTCTGCTGGACGAGATTTCGGAGAGTGCATGAGGGGACGAGGCTACCTCAACGACCACCTGCGTCTGTTGATTTCATGTAAATAATTATTTCTCTTCTGTCAAATGCAAAGAATGAATAAAGACTTGCTTTTATGAAATGTATCACGCGAACCCACTTCGGTGTCTTACTCAAGGACAGACAGGTCAACGTGGTTGCAATGGCTGAGGATCGATCACCCAACCTCCAGGTTGGGAAACGGCCATGCTACCACTGAGTCATACAGCTTCCGTACATTTCCGTTCTACAAGAAGTAGTCAAAGTACGATTTTAAAATGGAGCTTAGGGTTTTAAACGAGGGTTTGAAAGTAAGGTTTAAATATTCATATTACTGATAAGTGGGCTTTAGTGTTGAGCGGAATTTTGTCAGCGACAGAAAAATACTGGTACATGCAAGTAGATGAAAAATGACTTTGATGCTCACTTGTTTGCTTGCCCAGGGGCGGGCTACAAAAAAGGTGGACAGATTCTACCATAGTTTCACAAACGCTGGTCGAAATGACCAACAAAAAAAACATGCTGCTGCTTTTTCCGTTGATGTTAATGACAATCAAACAAGCACAACATTGAGACTGTATTGCGTAATTTATTGCTTGTATTGTCACAACAGACATTAGGATTTCAAACAAACTGAATTTAACATGACTACATTCATCTGTTCAAAGACGACATCACATGTCAAAGATTTTTTTATGAACCTAAAAATGTACAAATTTGATTTTGTTCATTGTCGTATCAATCAATCAATCATTCGAGTTTGATTCTTTCCAGTCAGGCACAAAATGTGAATTTAGGTGACGCAATGAAAATATTTTTGACTTGAATTTGTTACAACTCGTATAACTTTTGAAGGAGGCATATGTAAAATTCACTTTTTAAAAGCCTGTATGTTATAATGGGGCTTCTGAAATGCTTGCCCACTTGTCACATCTGAAATGAATGCATCTGTATTTTCCAAAATGTGTCAGCGAGTGAGCCCTTCAGAATTTTATGATGGTGCTACCTGATACAATACCTACCGCCCACACTGAAATTCTACACCCATGGCGTGGAAGTTTAGACTGGCATGAGATTCAGTGCCACTTTCAAGCAACTATACAGTCTAAAACACTTACAATGCAGAAACACCAAAATGCCCCACAGAAGCTATCATATCAAAGCTAAAAAGCTAGCATATGCGCATGGGGTTTTCTTGGATGGATACACAGATTAGCTTCTGATAGGTGGCACATAATTGCTATTTGAATTTCGGCAGGTCAGCGTGGTATGGAATATGTCCATGTGCCACATAAAGAGTAAAGTGTATGAAGTGCTGCCTTTATGGTGGCTTTTTTCTTGCCTATTCACCCGCCAAGATCCACCCGTGGTCGTGGCGGTAACGAAAGGCTGTACTCGGCATTGCCCTTTCAGTACAACTCAACTCCACTCTAATTATAGAGCACTTTAAAAACAACCATATCTGCTTACAAAGTGCTGTACATCAAGTAAAAATCAGCCAGAGACAGTCGGCATCTAAAAATGACCTAATTTTTGCAAGGTGTGTAAAAATGTCTTGGCATTTTTTGATCCTTGGAGTGTTGTTTTTACAGTCTTACAATATGGAAAAATTTTCCAGAATGTATCTTTTAAAAGACAGGCTCCCACACCCCCCGCAACCATTGTGAGGATAAAGCAAATCGGAAAATGGATCTTTTAAAAGGCGCTAGCATAAAGATTGCCTTGTAACAGACAATGCGAGCTGATGTCGCGATAAATAAAACATAACAATCCCCCGCCCCTCCAAAAAATAGCACAGAGAGGAACACTTAAATTACCCAACCACCTTACCTGACAATATTCATTAATATTCTTATTAATTTGCATAGTGAATATGTACAAGTCATTAAATAGGCCAGAGTGACCAAAAGTAGAGAAAACATGGCTTCAATCTCAAAGACTCTGAGGTACCAAGAATAATAAAGTCACTTTGTGAGGTTTAAAGGTGGCCATGGCATCGCTCGAAAGGAGACAGTCCATACCTAGATTGTGCTTGCTGATGCTGATGTCGCTAACGCTAGGCCAGGCGAGAGTTCAAAATGGCCGTCCACCCTGAGACAATTGAATTAAAGGGCCGGTGGTTGCTTAAAAAAAATAAAATAAAAAATCCAAAAATGAAATAAATACAAATGTATATCGAACGTGTCTTTGGTTGGAGGCCTAAAAAGTTGATAGAAAAATAAAATGCCTTTGTTTTTCGTATAATGGGTTGAATTACTCTTCCATGGGAATGTAAGACAAGATGGAGTGCTCTTGGGCCAAGGCGGCCAATTCTTTAAGGAACTCGCTGAAGAGGACGGTGGCGAACACGTCGGTCCGCTCAGCAGAGATGGACCTCGGTTGCGGCGGCGGAGAGCTCTTCAAGATGCCGCCGCCTCGCACTCGATTGCTTTTGTCTGAGGAGGACAACGCAATCCGCATGAGCTACCTCCAAGCAGTACAACAGAAGAGAGATTAATATTGCATATTTTTGGTTGTCACACTTGAACGTGTTCTTGCTTCATAAACACTGTGTCGTATTAAGAGATGGTTCAACGATTCCGATGACCTTATTTTGCAGGTATGGAATACGTTCCACTTTATTCACTAAAAAAAATAAGCAATCAGTACCGTTCACAAGGAAATGTGGAATATTACTGCATAAGAAGAGAGTACAAACCTAATTAAATAGAACATAGAGAAGTAAATGGAAACAGTTTGTGCATCTTGATTTAATGCTTCAACTCATTTCATTGTGCTGCTCCTTCTGGTGTGCCCGCCTTGGCCACACCATGAGGATGCAGAAATAGTCTTTTTTTTGTGTAGAGGATAAAGAATATATGCCTTTGCGTATGATAATCATGTGGCAATCAGTAAAGTTGTACTGTGCCTGTGTACTGATGGAACTGTCGAGGTACCCTTGAGCAACATGCCAAACATTTCTCTTACGATTGAATGCCAAGCAAAAAATTATGTTTCTGTATAAAATATCTGTATAACAGCTCTATTACTGATCTATTTTTTTCCCCATCACTGGTTTATTCGCGACACATAGCCATCACCTGCTTCTCACGATTGAATGCCAAGCAAAAAATTATGTTTCTATATAAAATATCTGTATAACAGCTCTATTACTAATCTATTTTTTCCCCATCATTGGTTTATTCGCGACACATAGCCATCACCTGCTTCTCCGTACAAGGTGTCCCTGGTCAGTAGCCAGTGTTGGGCGGCGACAATCAACTCGGGAAAGTCTTTACTGCTTGCAGCCAGCTGCTCGATCTGGTTCTTCACCGTGGCCAGAACCTGACAGGAAATCAGTCGGAGGCATGATTAGCCGAGTAATTGATGGAATGAGAGGATAGTCAATTTTCTAAACCCATTTGTTTGCGACGGCCCTAAATCTCCAAGTATGTGTCACCTGGAAGAGCGAGCGAACGGTGGGCTGGAAGACCAAGTTGGTGTTGAGGAGGAAGGAGCGCAGCAGAGGCTGAGGGTAAGCAGCCAGCTGTGCCAGGATGCCCGTCAGCAACAGGTTGACGTGCACCGAGTTGGTCAGCATGTTCTCCAGGCGGGACAACAAGACGCTGATAAAGGGACCTGCCGACGTTTGAGCAGTTTTATTTACAGCAACAACGTAAAGTCCCAGTCAGAACATCCGTCTGTTTTTCTGCTCGATGGCAGAAAGGACAAATAACTTTTACAATGAGAAGTAATATTAACTCTAACTCCAACCAGCAGAGGGCAGCGTTGGTTTGCATTTTAAAAAGCAAAGAGGAGCCACATGCTGGGATATGATGGAAAAATTGTCATCATTATCAAGTCACGATTAATACACACAATTATTAATGCTTTCAAAAGGTATTATTTGTTCAACTACCAAAGCTCAATTTTTAACATAACTTTAAGAAACACCCAAACAATTAACAACACAGTAAAATAAGAATATACTGGAATAACACAAATTTTAAAAACAACAAATAAAAATAAATACTGGCTGATCCCGCCATGTGCGCCTTGGCCTCTTGGGGGCAGTGTTGTGCCATACATGCACAGAGTACACACTTGCATTCAGATTAAGAGTAGAAGAAGAAAGTTGAAATAGATCTTGATTAATGCAGCTTCTTTTTCAGATTAGGAAATCAATATATTCTTGAGTGGTGTTGTATTAGCCATTACTACATCATTTGTGTGTGAATATTCATTATTTGGAGGAATTTCATATCAGGAAATCCATGCTAACTTTCCAATGAGCCTCTCGATGGGATTCTACATTGACTGCAGTGTTATTGCTTTTGTTGTGTGTTTAGTTTTACAGCCTTCAGCACATAAATCGTTTTTCTTGGTTTATAATTGCTTTTATAATCCTGAGAAGCCAAAATTTAAATCATGACTGAATTTTGATTAAATGCTCACACCTACCGTACACCTTAGCATTGTGAATGCAAACTTCAAATGCTAATCTTATCATTTTAACTTTTACAGATATATACATCAATAAAATGGACAAACTTAATACAGTATATAGAGTATTTGTCAAGTGTGGGACAAAAAAGGTCACTAAGTATTGTGAAATAATGGAAAGTCAATTGGAGAGCTGCTTCAATTTACCTGGCCAAAAAAGGTGATTCAGATTTTAAACTACGTTGCCAACTAACCTGTAAAAGGTGCTGACTGACTCCTGGCGGACCCGCGCAACGGCAACCCAAACGGCGACTGCAGCTTCTCCGGCTCCGGCGTCTCTGGCGAGAAGGAAGTGAAATCCATTTCCTCATCTTGTGCCACGGCGTTATCCTTTGCTTCTCCGTCACATTTTACGGCTTTAGCGCCTGCGTCGCTGTCAAACGTCCGGATGAGCTCCTCGTACTGAACCAGGAGGTCCCGGCCCAAGTCGGTTGGACTTTGACCATTCTCGGCCTTGTGCTTCTGGGTGAGTCCGTTCCGGGGGTTCGAGTCTTTTCGTGGCACCGCCACGGTGGCTGCGGTGTCTTTCTTGGCTACCAGATCGTAGACCTTGACGTCATCCTGGAACTCGTTCTCCTCGATGTAAGAGCCCTTCACCAACAAAATGGCAGACTTTCGCATCTCTTCGATGTGCTTGGGGGGCTCGGCGGAATGAGGCGACACAGGTGCAGGTCTGGGCTCGGCGGTCCCCGGCGGGCACGCGTCGTAGCTGTCGTCCCACTCCAGCTCCAACCGGTTGACCGGTAGTTCGGTTCTGGGGTGCTGCGCCATCGCCGAGGATGCCCCCCACGGGGCTCGCTTCCTGGGTGCCGGCTCCTCCAGGACACCCGCTTTGTATTTCTCCGGAGGCGGGTCCTCGCCGTCGTACGCGGCCGACCACACCCGGCACGCCTGCATGCAGACGCCGATGCGCTCGTGGGCGTCGTCCAGGTAGTGGAGGTAGCTGACATCCAAGTAGATCTCGGAGCCGATGGTGCACCAGGAGTTGCCGGCCGGGTCGCCCTCAGCCGAGATGCCGTCTTTCTCAGCTAAGGGAAAATCAACAAGAAGTCCAAGACAGCCAGGTTTGAAGGGATTTTTTTTTCTCTCCCAGCCTTTTCAATTGCTCTTGAAGTGCATAGGACACACCTTTGGAGAACAGTATGGACTCGAGCTGTCGGAGCGGCGGCGGGCTGCTGTCGGGGGAGCAGCAGGACGGTGTCAAGGCCAGGATCTTGGCCGCCGACGCCGAGTAGAAGTCACGCTCCCTCACCACGCGCCGCTGACTCAGCATCATGTGATTGCACGGGATCAGGTACCTGGGGATGTACATGGCGCGTGGTGAACAAACCTCTCGGAGTTCAATTCATATTTTAATTTTTTATTTTATTTTTTGTCACCTGAGGATGAGTTGCAACATGACATCTTCACAGTGCAAACCGATGAGAGTGCGGAAAAGTGCCAGTGACACGATGCCCAGCTGGAGGAAAAAAAGGAAAACATTTCAGGTGTACCTCATGTTTAGTCTGGTGAGTGTTTGCTCAAAACGTCTTAGTTCTAGTACAAATCTGGAAAAAAAAACATGTTTGATGTGTAGGTGTGTCATGTTGGTCAACACAATTCATTGACATAGATGGATCAGCGATCCGGTGTTGCCATGGCAACACTCTACGGTTATACAATGTGAACGGTTCAAATGGCAATTGAATCTATGATCTCGGCGACATACCTGGAAGGGTGTGTTGATACGGCTGACGAGCGTGTCCAAAATGTGGACGTTCTCGTGGCGGTGCAGCAGGATGAAGGACAGGAAGGTCTGCAGCAGGGCCGGCTCACTGATGCTTCTCAGGAACAGGTCCAGGTACGCCGTGGTGGTCATCACTTCCTCGACAGTCAGCTACATGGTGTCACCCGAAAAATGAAAAATGAAAAATTCTGATTGGAAACTGCCAATTTAATACTGTGACATGACGATTGGCATGATGGTGGGCTGTTGGCGGTGAGTGACAAAACCCTCCAATGACATTTTTATTTTGTCCAATATAACAATGTATTGATAAATGTTTTATCAAAACACTAACTGCTCGTGCTAAGCTGCACAGTTAGCACCAAAAAAATATCACATGAAACTGTCATTTAAGCAACTTGGCAAAATGATGTCTGTGAAAGGCTAATTGCTCACGTTCCAAACAGTCTTGACAACAAAACAATCATTTGACATTTTAAGGCGGTTAAACTATTTTTGCAAAATGCTGCTAATGCTACAATGCGCCGTTAGCAGCTAGCAACAAAAAACATGGCATTGAACGATCGTTTTACCAATGTTGCGAAAGAGAGGGTGGGAACAAAATGCCAATTGCTAATTAAGTACCCTGCTCTTAGCAGTTCGACAAATTTAACACATTTAAAATGATTAGGTAATTTTAGAAAACTGATGATTTGATAAAAAGGTGCTGGTGAAAGTTAGCAACAAAAAAAGAATGTGAACGTGAATGATTCACTATGTTGCTATTAGTTGACCAAAACATGGTGTCTTATCATTACTTATTAGAACAATATACTTTGGAAAATGCAAAAATAAAAAAAGGTGCTATGCGTATTGAACCTTATGCAGCGCGGGTGCGAGTACAGGCACGAGGAAGCCATTGTAGATGTAGCCCAACAACTGGTCTCTGATATCGGGGTGGGCTATCTGAGAAGTGGAGAGAGGAGTTGGCAATAAGGCTTGAAAGTTTATCGCGTTTAATTTCTGTTTTGTTTGTTTTTTTAACCTGGATGACAGCATTGCAGAATTCCAGGGAATTGAGAAACTGGACCAAGGAGGGTACACGGAGCCAGTCGTCCCTCTGCAGGCAGTGCCACTCGTCACTGGGAGCTTCCAACTTGGTAGGCAGAGATGAATACAGACCGCTGAGGCCCGTGGCAAGAACCTGAAGTCCAAAGGTCACACGATGATTAAATTCCAAGCCTCTCAGCCGTAAATATTGTCCACTTTCCTCCATGGAAGCAGACTTATGAGCCTTGTGTTGAATCGAAATATAACGTGCAAACACCGGCTTTTACTTTGGAAAACAGCAGTCCACATTTTTGCCTATTTTCGGTCACGTTACGGACCAAACCAGTAACGGAATCTTAATTTTAAAAAAAAAAAGTGCATTTCCTGCACTGTGCATTTGAAATAATGTCCTGTTTATGAGGATAGCGATGGAACTATAAACGTGTTTGATTTCACCGATTCATTGATTAATCGACAAAATCATTGACATGTGACTATTATCAACTAATCGTTGCCGTTAGCGGTTAGCAATAACAAAAAAAAAAAAAAAAAAAAATCATGCCACGAAAGCAAAACGAGATCACTTGCTAATTGCTAATGCTGAAGTGTGCCGTTAGCAACATTGGATGCCTTTGCTCTCTCGGGTTAATTGATTCAGGGCATTAGGAGAACAGAAAGAACAGCATTAGCGGCAGTTTATCCTCAGTCAGATTATCCTTGTATCAGCAGTCAGCCAAGCCCGTGTCATTCAGGGGTGTCCATTGTTAGGACTGGACTGGTTTCAAAAGCTGCTTTTTTTTTTTTTTTTCTACCGTGCCATGTCTGAGCCTGAGGCTACAATGGCATTGTGGATGCGAGATTAGCATAATTAAATAAACACCAGACACGCGAAAAAGACATCGCAGTGCGGCAGGGCCGAGGAGCCTTTTTCTTATCAGAGGCCCGTACGACATCAATGAAGGAATATGATTTCGTTTATGAGCATTTTCCCAAGGTTAGAATTGAATGGCTGGTCGTACACAGTGGAGATAGAAGTGGACTTGTGATTTCAACAAATGCAGACCAAAGATAAATCACTTCATCAACTTTTCCTTTTAGAAGTACACAAGTGACAGTTCCGTTCACGTGGCATTCACGATGATGAATTTCAAATCTGATTCGAATTTGACAAATGTGACAAATTGTTGCACTGACCGGACAGAAGAAGGTGTTCTCCGCTACGTGCTGAGCCACGCGCCGGTTCTCTGCCGACAAGGACATGATGAGTAGCAGCGCGTCTCGTGCCTGCTGCCCCACGGTGCCCTCGCGGTGGATGAAGGGGATGAGCAGCGAGAAGATGAGGAAGTTGGCGGCGCCCTGGTCCTCGCTGGTGTGGAAGAACAGCTCCAGCACGGACGGGTCCTTGGCCAGGACGCAGCAGAGCTGGTGCAGGAGCAGCACCAGCTGGGCCTCCACGTCGGGCGCGCCCCCCGAGCCCGAACACGCCGACAGGAGCATCATGAGCGGCCGCAGCACCGGTTTGTGGTGCAGCAGGGGCTGGCGAGACTGGCAAACCAGCATCTCGTACATCTTCAGCTGCTCCAGCTTCATGGCGTCGGTGAACTC